CCTGCCAATTTCATTAATTATTGCCTAAAAATAGTAAATTAACAAAATTGCCTAAAATCACTCTTAGTATTGTTTTAACAATTCGGCCTAATAAATAGCGAGCATTAATTGCAATAGATACTACGAAATAAATCATTATATTTATGGAATCCCGTCACTGCATTAATTTTTTCACGCCATTGCATTAATTTTTTCACAATTCGGACTCAAACTTTTTCCTTTTTTTTCACAATTCGGACTCTTTATTAGCATATTTATTTTCCTTTTTTTTAGGAATATAATAAAAAAGATGGAATCAAAATCCAAATAAATCTCCTCTTTTTGTGGCTTCATATAAATCTCCTCTTTGAAAGCCACATATCCTGCGTTTAATAAAGTGTCTGCAAAAAAAAATAAAAAAAATAATTAAAACTGGTCCATAATTATCATCAATCACTTTTGGTTAAAATCTTACCAATATCTTTCCATTTAAATAATTTTCACCAATCACTTTTTTGGTAAAAAAAAAGTTGTATAAAAGGATATTCACTACCACCATTATTTCTTCACATCATTCACAGCGTTCAGAGAAATAAAAAAAATACCGAGATAAATTTCAGAACACATTGATAATATAATGCCGCCAGTCTGGGATACACTCGATTCCGTGAGTAGGACAAACAAACCTTATTTGCATTTGAGAGCAGTCCGAATAATTGAAACGCATCACGAACGGGAGAGCTGGAACGCATTTCATATACTGTTTCATGATGAACATGTAAATATTTTCATCAGTAATATCAAATTTATATAATTTGAAAAAATATTTAATTAATATTTATAAATGTATTTTGTAGGGTGCATTTATTAAAGGCATAATACGTTCTAAAAATATGTGAACATTTCGAGGTGTACTGAACGAAGGCGAGGTGTTCGGGAACGCCGAACCATGAGTTGCATTTGAAGATAGGAACTCCAGTCATGTTGTTGCGAAACATGGACCATTCTATGGGTCTGTGTAATGGCACACATTTGGTTGTTACAAAGCTCTCTCCGCATGTTCTTGAATGTAGGATATTGACTGGAGATCACGCAGGTGAGAAGGTGTTGATTCCTCGGATGAACATAACTTCTTCTGATGTTAGTGTTCCGTTTAAGTTTCAGCGGAGGTAATTTCCCCTTATGGTTCCTATGTCATGACCATAAACAGGAGTCATGGTCAGTCTTTATCACATGTAGGACTATTCTTGAACAAACTTGTTTTTAGTCATGGTCAGTTATACGTCGTTGTTTCACGTGTTACTAATAGGAAGAAGTTGAAAATATTAGTTTGTGGGGATGATGAGGTACCCAGTAATCAAACTAATAACGTTGTATATAAGGAGGTTTTTAATAATGTATAACTTTTTATCAATGACGAATTTATGTTTATTTTACGAACGCCATACGTATTATGATAACTTATTAATTAATGACCTTTTTAATTTTTTAAAATTTTCCAAAACATGTACTAACCTGTGCATCGCACGAGTTACATACTAGTGATTATCTTATAGAATTTATTATTATTATGTTAGAACTTAGAAATTATTATGTTATAAGTTAGAATTGATTATCTTGTAAAATTATCTTTTATATTATTCGAAATTTATTAGTATTAGAAATAAATTTAATTTCTGAAAAAATAAAGTAATATTTTAAAATATAACTATAAATTGTTATTTTGTTTAATGTATATTATTGTTAGTAGACAATAATTATAAATGTTATATTTTTCTTACAGATAATTAGTATTTTGTTGCAGATAATTAGTATTATATTATATAACATTATAATTTCTAAGTGTCAATATAATTATAATAAAATTTAATAAGATAATCAATTATAACTTACAATATAATAATTTTCAAATTCTAACTATAAGGTAATAGATTATAATTTATAACATAATAATATCTAAATTCTGATATAATTTATATAATAAATAAAAATTTGATTATTAAAAAAAAAGGGATTGGCTATCGACAAAACCGGCCTTGCATGGTGCAAAAAACAGTCGTGCACGGCGGAAGTTTATTTTATTTTATTTTATTTTTTACTTTTTTAAAAAATATCAAGGGCAAAAATGTCCAAACAAGGACAGTAAGTTATAATAAGGGGAATGAGTAACACCCAATTTTATAAAACAATTATTATTTTTTTTATTATTTTTTATTTTTATTTTTTATAAAACAATTATTTTAGTCCGGTCTATG